GGGGTGGGGGGTGGGGGTCACTCACTGATTTGGCCTCATAAAACATTTGCATATTATTCAATGCAACTTCCAGCTACTGAAACTCAAAAGGGGGGACAGAGGCTGAACTATATTATGGAACATGTGTTGTATTTTCCTGTGACTGTCTTTATTTGCCTCTTAATCAAATTTTTATTCTTTTTTCCACAGCATCCCCTTGAGTGTGTGCAAGGCCCCTTTACATGTTTTCATTACCTCTTTATCCCTTGAACCAATACCTTAGTTTGTCACCATTGTGTAGCTCCTGGGGGTGAATGTTTTTTCTCTAGTGTAGTGGCTTACACTTGTTGTCATGGATAGTGAGGATAAGAGAAAAGGTCAAAGGACAGATGGCAGCCAACCTCCAGTGTGTCTCCATATCCATCTGTCACTGAGGAATAAGCTGACTCCACTCTTCCCCTCAGAGGCATAGCAGCCAGCTTTCCCCCTCCAACGTGGAAACTTTCTACTTGCTCACTGGAGTAACTGGGGTGCTATACTACTATGTCAGACCCATCTTCTGGGATTCACAGTAGCTCAGGGATGCATCCTGGGGTTTGCCTAAATATTCTTGTTGGTGTAGTTATTTACCAACTCCACTTGAGATGGAATCTTTAAGTGTAGAACATGGCCATGCTTATAATCCACTCCAGAAAATGTAGATGCAGGTGCTTGGAAGATGCTAGCTGTATTAACTGCTTGCTGGTATCACTTGCAGGCTTTGTCACACTCCCTGTTCAAGCTGCACTCAGACTAAGGAAACCAGAGTCTCTAGAGGTAGGTTAGAGTTATTGGCCCAGAGACTGCAATGAGTAAAAATGCTGGAGAAGCATCGTTCTTAGAACTGCATCCCACCATGGAGGGAGGTTATGGTTACCATCCAAACAGGACCCAAAGGTCTTTCAACTTACTGAAGAAATCCATGTTAATTCCTGGTGCATGAAGTATTTTTGTTATAAAGAAAAAGAGCAGACATTCTCTGTTGCTTATAAATATAATTTATTACCTGTTTAAAAATTCTTTCTTACATTTTGTACATGTTGGCTGACAATAAATGCAGGCAATTTACAAACCAAGGGGACTGCAGGAAAATTGGGTGAGCCAACCTGGGAGAGAAAAGAGGCACACACAAAGCTGGTGTCCCTCACCTCCAGCACACAGCAAGGCGATGAACGGAATGCTGGAGCGTACTCCTTTGCCACCAGGGGTCATTAGAAAAGGAATTGCATAGAAGATACAGCAAGACAGAATTCTATAACAAAGAAGTATTCCATATCTGAGAAGCCAAGGTTGTGTTTTTGCCAAAAAAGAGAGAGAGAGAAACTGACGAGGTGTAAAATTTTAACCTGATACTTATGAAGTTGAGCTCGTCCAAATAAGATGGCACGGGGTGACCCAGCCTCTCTTTAGAAGAAGGCTGAAGGTTGTTTTCTGATGAATATTGGTTTTCATCTTTAGAAAAAAGAGGAGGAAGGTTACTGGTTCCCAATAGCTCAACATTAAGCTCACTACATAAGCACAGTGACATCCAACTCACAGGCACAGTATACACACACATACACACACACAGTGATGATATTCCCTGCAACTTGGCTAAATATATTGTCTGGAGGGTGAGGGTGTCACTACACATAGTAGGTCTAGGAAAAAGTGAAAGAAGGAATGCAAGTCATATGTCAACTGGCTCTTCTTTCTTTTCCAAGATCTGAAGAAAAACATGAGAGTCCGTCTGTGTACCGTTATAGGTCCTATTAATGACTGTAGGAACACAAAAATGGCAAAGGCATTTTCTACTCGCTGTGGATTTCTTGTTTTGTATGCTGGTTTAACATACAGCATAGGGCTTGTCGTGATGCTTTGATGTTGCCACTTCATAGTGCTGAGGGAAGATCAAAGGCCAAGAGCTCATCAGTCTTAGGCTGCTGATCAGTGCAACCAGCCCACAGTTCACAGTTACCACTGCCGGCTAACATCAGACTCCATGGCATTAGGCCTTTGGTATGTAAAGATGGACACAGGGATTAGGTTTATTTAAAATGGGCCCAACAGTACTGTTGCCTGCAATTTTGCCATAGCACAAATTCTCAAAGAATATAGAAAAAACTTTTGTACCATAGCAAATAGTATGGCTGGTGGACAGCTGATTGTATCTCACATACTCCCCGGTTTTGGTTTTTATTGAACAACTAATGGGTTGGGTCATGACCTGATATATGGCCGGGACTTCCAGTATAGGTTTCTGGAAGTTCTTGGGACAGATCCCTTCATTACATAGTTGAGTATACTGAAGACTTGCAGGTAGCCTCTTAAGTTTCATTGGATTTGCCTGCTATTATGTTTATGGAGTGTGTGTTTGTCCTGAGGATACCTCCCCAACCACACTTACATAGGCCTCTGGCATAAAATACCTTTGGTTGAATGAGCCCTGTTAATAACCCACCACAGCTCAGAAAAAGGAAGCGATCAAGCCCACTGGACTTTCTGAAGACTATTGCAGTAAGTTTTCAGAAAAAAGGGGGCAACCATTTGGCCAATAATACCAAAGGATCCATAGCTACATTGTTAATTTGAATAGACCCAGGTACATACAGGCCATTTCCACTCTTATTAAAAAATGAACTTAATTTCCAGATTTTTGGAAATATTTATGACTTCACCTGGCTTATTTAGCCTATATGAACATCAGGTACATACAGGCCATCTCCACTCTTATTAAAAAATGAACTTAATTTCCAGGTTTTTGGAAATATTTATGACTTCACCTGGCTTATTTAGCCTATATGAACATAAATTAGTATTGGTTATAATGTGAATATTCCCCATAGTCCTAATTCCATAAAAAATTATCAGGGAACTGTCAAGGTCATCAGTATAATCAGAGGTGATGCAAAGAGATCTCTTGGGGGTATAGAGACAGCATTTCATTGCACAGAAAGAGTTATAAGGTTTTCAGTCAATGTCAGCTCAGTATGTTTTAAAAATAAAAAACCAAAGGGGTAAGATAGTTGGTCCCACGAGGCACTCAGAAGGCAAAACCAGTTTTGTTAACTTGAGATAATAATAAAAATATCTTTCCTTTTGGATCTATAAAATAAGATGCTCATTGGTCTTTATCATCTTTAAAAATGACTCTCTTGAACAATGATGTTCTGATTTGCAAAGCTTCTCAAAAAAAGGACGTCTCAAGCATAATTCCACCCTCACTGTGTTTCTGTAGTCCTCCTTTCTGCCACTGGCCTTGGACTTACACCGACATTGCTATCTGAAAGGGGTTACTTGTCCAGAACAATTGCTCAGTTTGAATTCATGTTCATCTGGAAGACTCAGACCAAGTAAACCTTTTCTGCTTTCACCACATACTCTCCAACATCCTTCCTTGGTTCTATATTCATTAGCCCCAGAGCATGGACTGCAGGGTTGTATGGATTCTGGGACAGAACACCATTCTGATAAGCTCCCACCATCCTGTGACTGTGGAGGTGTGAGCGACTCAAGAACACAGCTGCCAGGTCCTCCACAGAGACAGTAGATGTAAGAAGAGAGCCTGCCTTCTTTTCTCCGGAAGTGATGTGTCCAGATCCCACCCTCTGAATGTTTCCTTTCCAATTTATTTTAGGAAAAATGTCTTTAAAACAACTGAATGTCTAATACCTGGACTCTACACATCTAGAGGGCCCTAAATGTAGTCATTGTGACTTTTCCCTTTAAAAGTCTCTACTCTTTGATAGTTTAATAATTAAAAACTACAGAATCATAGCATATATGAAAATAGCTAATAATACAGTTGATCCTGGACCTCTCATCCCACAAAGCATCCTTTCTTGGAAGAGATTAATTTGCTCAGGTGAAGATGGGCTCTTTGTATAGCAGAGGTAAGGTGTCTGCTTTGAAGATATTTGGCTATGAATTACTTGACACATGCTTGTCATAGCCATGTCCTCAGCTATCATGTCAATTTGAATTAATGCCATGAGAAAAAAATGAGAACATGAAGGCTCTGCCTTTACGTTCCTAATCTTAGAAGATCAGAAGAGCATTCTTGACCAACAGTCACAATTTCCCTTTCCAAAGACAGAATTCTCACTTACAAAACCTTTTTAAAGTATATGTAGTGGTATTGGCTTAAAGGAGAACCTATGGAAATAGGATCATGGGTCTGAGGGTGTCCTGGGATAGCCAGAATATATCTGAAAATATTAAATCAATGACCCCCACCCACCCAGGAGATGCTGTGTGTGTGTGTGGGGGGGGGTGAGGGCACCTCCTTAATGAATCCGGTTTATGTTTCTAATGGTTATTACTTTGAAATGAAAAGATTTCAAATATGCAAAGTTCAGTGGGATTAATAAAAAAGACAACTTTCAATGACTTATATAAATTTCATATATGTCTGCTACAGGAAAGTAACTTAAGAGGTGTATGAGCAAGTAGATGATATACTGTACTCAGAAAAGTTTGAAATGGGCAATTTAGCTGAACAAATATTAGAATAAGGAAATTACACACTTGAAAGTAAAATTTCCCCATGTCACTAATTTCTATAGTTACTTACTCTTTGTGGACTTTTAGTAAGCTGTACATGAAACTGAGTAACTGTGGCAGACCACTAGATGGCACAATACACAAGTGAATAGGCTTCTACCCAAATGCAGCTTTCCTCAGAGGCTGTGTGGGAGCTGGCCATGCTGCAGAGGTGATGATGATGCTCCCTCTGAAATGAACTGTGGCAGGTGAACCTTGCGTTTTGGAAAACAGTGATCTAACAACCATTACTTTCCTCCAAAGGAAAATACCATACATAGCTGATGGATGGTATGCTCTAGTTTGGAAACTGTCTTGCACATAATAGAAAGTGGTTTTGTGACAAATGAGTACCTCATAAGAGATCAGTCATTCTTCCTATTCCTGTTGGAAGAGGTGGAATAAAAAAGTATCTCTAGATGCTTGAACATGAGGACCTCAAAAGCTTCAACAATGTTGTTCGGTTACACTTGGTATTTCTGTTGGTGATTTAGCAGTTTTTAGGATAGATTAACCAGAACAACAACACATCTGCCCTTCTCTACTTACAAAGCACTGAAGTTACATAAAACATCCAGTCCAGATCTCTAGATTTTGATTTCTATGATTCCCAAATCCCTACTGAAAGTGGAATCTTCACGTTTGTTTCAAGAGGCAGCAGTGGACAACTCCTTCTTCCTCTTGCATTTTAAGAATATATCTGAATTCTTAAAGGTTAGAACAAACTCCTTGTTATGGACATCAGCCACTGAACTTGTTTAGAAGTACAGCATTCCCCTTAGACCAGTATTTTTACGTATGAATATTTTAATGGTTAGAGAATGCGATTGTAGAATACATATCCAAAAGAAAAGGTCAGCAGTGGGAATGAAGAGCCTCCACAACCGTATCCACAGTTCTTTAATGGCAAAGACAGAAGAGTCAGAGAATATCAAGAAGTAACAGAAATAGGAGAGGAAATGGGTAAGATGATTCCTAATTGGCACCATTCTGCATACTGGATACTTCCGGCCCCAGTGTAAGCCACAGTCGTATTTTGAAGGCTCGGATTTAAGGACATGGGTGCTCCCTGTTTGTCTAACTGTGCCTGGGACTGCTAAATTTTCATTCTCCATGCGCTGAATGGCATTCCTACAGTAAAACAAACCATGATGGTTCTAAGAAAAACTCATAGCTGGCAAAACTATTAACATTTTGTAGGATAAAAGAGCTAACTAAACTCTGTAAATACAATTGACCATTATTAAAGCAAAGATTAATGAAGGAAGAAAAACTACCAATTACTTCAGCAGCATGGGTATTTTTTAGAAATGGTCTTGAGATCAATATATGAGTAAAGTAGATTTACAACTAGTTGGAAGGCTGGTGTGTAGCCCTACCACCACCAGAGGACAAGATAATGATAATAAAAGGATGCCATCTCTCGGTGTACAACATCATGCGACCATGATACAAAGACAAGCGAGACAAATGTATGCATGTTGAAGTAATCATCTTTCAAGTCAATACTGCCTGAAAGATGCAATGTATTTCATCAAAAGGCTGGCTGGACAACTGGTCCAGGCCAGAGTTTCTTAAAATCTTCAAATTGATGAATAAGACTGATGACATCACAATGGGAGGTTAGCATTCTAGAATCTTGAGATCTCACCCCATAGTTTATGGATCAGTAAAATGAGCTACAGTGAGTTTCCATGTTTTTCTCAAGGTCACACAGCCAGACAGTGACCAGCTCCAAAATGATCATTGGTTTCCTGATTCCTAGTTCAGAAACTATTGCCCACAAACCACACTGCCTCTCAGACAGAGTGCCACAAGATTCAATGAGCTTTACATAGAGAACCTTCCTCATGATAAGACCCAGAACAGAAAGACTGCCTGAGAAAGCAGAAAGAGCAGACATAGCCAGTGAGCACTTCAATCTCTTCCACCACAGAATGGTAGCTCAAAGGTCAAGGAAATGAAGCCTATTGAACTAAACTGGTGACCACGCCCAGCTCTTTACGAACGAAAGGAAGGCAGGTCTAGTCAATACCAAATACTAACAGTATTGCTAACTAAAGCAAAAGAAAATCTTTTTACTAGAATATTTGTGATAATCACCAATAATAATGATAATATTTTCAAAACACTTGAAATTGCATATTATAAACATATGTGGTACAGAAATGTTTGAGTGGAGGAACAGGAATCACTATCTTCCCTGCAATGCTACAGCTCTGTTCCCAAAGGATACCAACTGATATCCATGGCATAAGGAATCTTAGTCATTCTCCTTTTAGATTCTCCACTTCCCTGATACAAATGCCAACACTGGTCCAACAAGTTTCAGAAACAAAACACTGAAGGGAGGATTATCTGAGACACTTGATGTACACGATTTGTAGCAAAAGTCTATGATTTCTCTGTAAATTACTAATCTGAAATAGACTCAACAAACCGTCCACAGCTTCAACTTCAAATGATTGGAACAAAAATAGAACGAGCCATGGACAGTGTCTGCATCCCTGTCCAATTTGATGTAAACAACGTTTGTAGAAATTGGGTTTGTTAAGAAAGTTTATCCATACATCTGGATAGCAATAAAAAGCGTTTCCTAGGAAACTGTAAGATCCTGTACCATACAGCATACAGCCCAACGAAGAGAAAAATTAGATTGGTTTCTAAATTCAAGGTACAAATTTATACAATTTTTCTTAACTCCCATGGTGGTGCTGTCCAAATGAAGTGGGCATGTACCTTGGTGGTTGTAACTGTCCCCCACCATTCCTGCTGCCATCTTGCCTGAAAAGCGCCTTGGTCCCATCTGGATTTCCTCCTCAACTGTGGTTCTCCTAGACACAGACTCCCTGTGTAATTTTGTCCCTCAATTTCAGTTCCTGTATGGTCAATACTGCCCTTCTGCCGCTAAGGACATTACTGTTTCATGTCTTCCCATTTCTTCCAGGACAGCTGCCAGCATGCTCAGGTTTCCATCTGGGAAGTTTTGTGCTTCCCAAAGATCCAGGATCACACCAGTTGGACTCGATTTGGTGGCAAAGTAATTCAAGTACCTGCAATTGGGAATGGGAAAATATGCTAAAAGGTGTGATTTACAGGTCTATTTACAGTATTATTCTATCCTCTGCTTCTGTGATAAACCTGTCTTCCTTGAAGTATTTTGGTCCCACTGTGGATTGTAGTGAATCTCACTATATGATTGTGTTATACTTAATTAGATCAGCCCCAGACAGGACACGTGCTATTTAACTTTGTTAACCTCAACTCTGAATTGGATAATTTAAGAGACAATGTGTCTGTGTGTTTTGTCCTAAACAGGAAATCAAGAGGCTTACGTTGTCTGTCCAGTTCAAGCTCTGATGATCTTTGACAGGTCATGCCACAACTCTTGTTTGGAGGTGACAGCTACACTCTACAAAGTAGAAGCTCTTGGGGTTTCTTCATAACTCAATACAAGTGCTGTGTGAGCATGTGAATTATTCAGCACACATTACGTCTTGTTCAACTGGTGATGAACAATAATTACTGAATAGACATGAAACTTAGGAGGACTTAGCACATAAGCTAGACCAAGAAGATCACAAGGGATTCTGATAAATGTCATATTACCTGGAGTTTATCTTGGAAGTGTCTGGAAGTTCATGATACAAGGTAATGCATACCATCAGGATGAAAATGTAAGCAAATATGTAGTGGGAAGAAAAAGTAAAGGAATGCTGCTTTCTATCTGTTTTCAGTCCTGGAGACCTCTGCTAAATAAAAAAGGATCCACAAGCCTGGACACACTCACCTGTCCAGGTTGAGTTTATGGGCCAGCATCCTCCAGTCATGCCCTCTTGTCTGGGGGGCATCCAGGCTGCTGCACAGCTTCTGCCGGATAGGGAGAGGGATGCTGAAAGCACTTGGTCCTGTGACAGTGGTGATGGTGCTTGCAGGATCTAACAGAGGCAAATCGATGCCAGTAGGTTCCTGTAGGAACGACACAACTTTATTTTCAGAAGATAAATGCAATCCCTGTTGAATCAATCAACATAAAGCCTGACTCTCAGTCAATGAAGATAGATACAGAGAATGAGTTCTATTCTCTTCAGGGAGGACAGTTTCTTCCTGGCTGGCCTGGAAGTAGTGGGTTACTATAGGCAGTTGGGAACCACAAGGTGAGCATTTGGAGGTCGTTTTGTAGAACCTGTGTTCAGGAGTCATTGGTAATGACTGGGCAGGAGAGAAAGCTCTGGTAAGATTCCACAATGGTTCCTCTAACGGGAATCTCCATGAGAGAAGAGAGGTGATGACTGTGTTTCAGAAGGTTTAAATGTTGGAAATGTTCAAAGGAGCAATTATTTCTGAATGAACAAATAGATCTGAGATGAGGAAGAGCTTCTGGAAACCATCTAACCCTAAAGGCATGCCCTAGGTGAACACTTAGAAAACTCCATCTAGCCCTGTGAAGGTGGCTCCCTTCCACCCTTACTTGATAAAATGGGACAAGGCTAAGAGACATCAAATTAAGACAAACTTCTTACAAAGAAAATGGTAAACACAGAATATTGCTTTAGGGCAAGCCACTAATGGTGTCCTCTAATTGCTGAACTTCCTTGCTTATTTTTTAAATCCAATTTTAGTGGAGAAAACCATAAATTGGCTCTTAAAATAGTTTCAGCTCATAAAACAGCACAAATGCAAAATTTAAATTTCATGTGCAAGAGAAACTCTAATCATTTTCTGATCACTTCTTCTGGGCTGAAAGCACGAGGAAATGCTGCCTGGGAACCATTAAAGCAATAACAGGAAACCACCTAAACCTGCTTCAATACCATCTCTTTTTTAAAGCAGGTAACTGCTTGGTGAACACAATTAACTGCTAGAGGATACACTAGCCACAGAAGTCCTGCCATCGAGAAGTCTGTGATAGCCTGCCAAGTGCTCAGCATCACTGCTGTCAGAGCCCCCATGTCATGCCCTGATCCTGAGGTCTCTGAAGACTTGTCAGTGCTAGAGCTTTGAGGGTTAGGTGAGGTCTCAGCTGGCAGCCTCCCAAGCGTGGCCCACAGGGTGGTCTACTTTTTGGGGATCAGTGGAATAGTACTGATTTTAAATCTTCTGTAATCCTTCTAGACAGGGTCCATTAAGGAGTTTGGGGACATTTTAGAGAAAAAAATTCTTTTAATCACATAATATAGACAATAGTGTTGGCTCTGATAAGTATCAGGGCTTAAAACATAGCTTGACAAATGGATGCCCCTGGCTCTGGGCTCCTCTGTGTCAGCTCTGGCTCCTTCGCTGGACTCTGGGCTGAAGCCCAGAAGCTTCCAGCAGGATTAGAAATCTCTGGTTAGACTCACAACCTGCAGCTCTTCCCCCTCAGGCACAAAACTCTGCCAAGAAGCACGAGTTCATAGCCTCTCAGAACTCGTGCTTAGGTCACAGGGCTTCAAAAAGGCAAGAGGGCATCATTGTGGGCATGTAGCAATGCTTGCTTGTGGATTCATGTTTGAGATGTTCAAATTCAAACATCGCCACCCAGCAGTCTGCAAGGGTGTATTGGTATGTGGGGGCAGAGAGGAGCCCCACACTGTTGCCCCAGTTCAGAGACCCCACCCAGGTTCAAGGCTTTGTACTCCTTTATGGATAATTACAATCAAGTACTCTTTAAGCTAGAAGGGGAATCTGCCAGCCCCTGAAGTACATCCCCACCTAATTGACATTGGGTGGCAGGGGAGGTTAAAGTCTGCACAGGGAGGAAGTGGCCTGTGTAGCACTAACTCTTGTCTCCAAAGGGTCTCCTCCTCATGGCTAGCCACAGTATCTTGCTGCTGTTTGCCTGTTTTCTACCATGCTCTCCTGTCAGCCTGTCCTCCTCCTATGCTCACTCATGTGTAATACTCTCCCTGCTCCTTCACTGAGGGGAGTATTTAATGTCCTTTATCTGGAATGAAGTTCCAACCTTCACATGTTGTGTGTGTGTGTGCGTGCGTGCGTGCGTGTGTGCCTTTATATTGAGGCCAGAGGACAACTGTGGGTGTCCTTCCTCAGGTACTGAGACAGGATTTCTCATTAGTCCAGATCTCATCAACAAGGCTTGCCTGTTGAGCCCAGGGATTCTCTGTCTCCTCCCTTCTCCAGTCTTGGAATTATTAATACATGATGTACGATGTCTTTTTTTTTTTTAAACATGGATTCTGGAAATGAAAGGTCAGATACTTGCAGTGAATTAGCTGAGCCATCTCCCCAACCCTAATATCTTAACATGTGTTTAACTGTATATATTTTGTGTTCTACCTTCATACAAGCATAAAGGGTGAAGTGATTAAATTTCATCACTCTTTTTAATCTCCATGTGTTCTCATATCCAGTTTTTTCAAAGACAATGCCTCATTTTATTTATGCACATGGAAAGCTTGACTTTTAAGATGGCAGGCATGTTATGAAAATATTTATCACGAAGATTATTAATAAGGAAATTGAAAAGAAATATAATTTATTCAAAATAAAACTGACAAATATATTGAATCTGATAGAATGTGAAGCTCTTGATTTAACTTAATGGAAAAGAAGTTTCTGCAAAGATTTGGCTTTCCTAAAAGATACCATATACAAATATATATGGTATTTGTGCTGGGGGAAGTAAGGGGGAAGGGAGGGAGAACTGTGATTGGAATGTAAAATGAAATTTAAAAAGAAATAAAAAGCACTTAACATTGAAAACTTATTAGCTGTTAGTAGAATTATCTTGAATTTGAACAGATTATTGACATAATGGTGACTATATACCATTTTAATTAATTCCATTACTACTAATGGTATTTCTAATCTACAGTTCTTATTACTCCACTTTCAGGTCAGTGTTTTGTTGTTGTTCTTTGTTTGAGAGAAAGAGGATCACACACACACACACACACACACACACCAACTTTTAAATCCAATTTTAGTGGAGAAAACCATAAATTGGCTCTTAAAATAGTTTCAGCTCATAAAACAGCACAAATGCAAAATTTAAATTTCATGTGCAAGAGAAACTCTAATCATTTTCTGATCACTTCTTCTGGGCTGAAAGCACGAGGAAATGCTGCCTGGGAACCATTAAAGCAATAACAGGAAACCACCTAAACCTGCTTCAATACCATCTCTTTTTTAAAGCAGGTAACTGCTTGGTGAACACAATTAACTGCTAGAGGATACACTAGCCACAGAAGTCCTGCCATCGAGAAGTCTGTGATAGCCTGCCCCCCCCTCAGCATCACTGCTGTCAGAGCCCCCATGTCATGCCCTGATCCTGAGGTCTCTGAAGACTTGTCAGTGCTAGAGCTTTGAGGGTTAGGTGAGGTCTCAGCTGGCAGCCTCCCAAGCGTGGCCCACAGGGTGGTCTACTTTTTGGGGATCAGTGGAATAGTACTGATTTTAAATCTTCTGTAATCCTTCTAGACAGGGTCCATTAAGGAGTTTGGGGACATTTTAGAGAAAAAAATTCTTTTAATCACATAATATAGACAATAGTGTTGGCTCTGATAAGTATCAGGGCTTAAAACATAGCTTGACAAATGGATGCCCCTGGCTCTGGGCTCCTCTGTGTCAGCTCTGGCTCCTTCGCTGGACTCTGGGCTGAAGCCCAGAAGCTTCCAGCAGGATTAGAAATCTCTGGTTAGACTCACAACCTGCAGCTCTTCCCCCTCAGGCACAAAACTCTGCCAAGAAGCACGAGTTCATAGCCTCTCAGAACTCGTGCTTAGGTCACAGGGCTTCAAAAAGGCAAGAGGGCATCATTGTGGGCATGTAGCAATGCTTGCTTGTGGATTCATGTTTGAGATGTTCAAATTCAAACATCGCCACCCAGCAGTCTGCAAGGGTGTATTGGTATGTGGGGGCAGAGAGGAGCCCCACACTGTTGCCCCAGTTCAGAGACCCCACCCAGGTTCAAGGCTTTGTACTCCTTTATGGATAATTACAATCAAGTACTCTTTAAGCTAGAAGGGGAATCTGCCAGCCCCTGAAGTACATCCCCACCTAATTGACATTGGGTGGCAGGGGAGGTTAAAGTCTGCACAGGGAGGAAGTGGCCTGTGTAGCACTAACTCTTGTCTCCAAAGGGTCTCCTCCTCATGGCTAGCCACAGTATCTTGCTGCTGTTTGCCTGTTTTCTACCATGCTCTCCTGTCAGCCTGTCCTCCTCCTATGCTCACTCATGTGTAATACTCTCCCTGCTCCTTCACTGAGGGGAGTATTTAATGTCCTTTATCTGGAATGAAGTTCCAACCTTCACATGTTGTGTGTGTGTGTGCGTGCGTGCGTGCGTGTGTGCCTTTATATTGAGGCCAGAGGACAACTGTGGGTGTCCTTCCTCAGGTACTGAGACAGGATTTCTCATTAGTCCAGATCTCATCAACAAGGCTTGCCTGTTGAGCCCAGGGATTCTCTGTCTCCTCCCTTCTCCAGTCTTGGAATTATTAATACATGATGTACGATGTCTTTTTTTTTTTTTAAACATGGATTCTGGAAATGAAAGTCAGATACTTGCAGTGAATTAGCTGAGCCATCTCCCCAACCCTAATATCTTAACATGTGTTTAACTGTATATATTTTGTGTTCTACCTTCATACAAGCATAAAGGGTGAAGTGATTAAATTTCATCACTCTTTTTAATCTCCATGTGTTCTCATATCCAGTTTTTTCAAAGACAATGCCTCATTTTATTTATGCACATGGAAAGCTTGACTTTTAAGATGGCAGGCATGTTATGAAAATATTTATCACGAAGATTATTAATAAGGAAATTGAAAAGAAATATAATTTATTCAAAATAAAACTGACAAATATATTGAATCTGATAGAATGTGAAGCTCTTGATTTAACTTAATGGAAAAGAAGTTTCTGCAAAGATTTGGCTTTCCTAAAAGATACCATATACAAATATATATGGTATTTGTGCTGGGGGAAGTAAGGGGGAAGGGAGGGAGAACTGTGATTGGAATGTA